TAAAACTACATTATAACTTTGTTCAAATATATAAAACTACACGTATATGCTATGCATTTAAATCATGTAGAAGAAATTCTTACTGGGACACTAAATAATATTCCTTATGAGTATGCATAGATAATTATTTTATCAGATTGTGACTATTTAATTATTTTTTCTTCCAAAAATGCTAAAAATGGATGAAGACAAAGGAAGATAGGTAATGGCATATTTATTTTTTTATGTTTGTACATTTTCTCTTCTCTGTGACTCCATAGGATTAAATTATTTTTCCCTTTCTAACTATCCTAGACAGACTTTAATCTGTAGTCAAACAAAATCAAATATTGGGCAGTTATCACATTCCCAAACAGCCAAAAATTAATCAGCAAATTAAATTTTCTTCAATCACACCATCTTCCCACTCGTTTAATTGTAGATTTTGTTAATGTCCCCGTGGGTCAGCCGTGTCTGTTTATTTGTACGGTCAGCCCAGGCTATGTCATTCGGAAGTTGATCCTGTTACCCCGATGACCAGACTCAAAGCATAACATTTGAGGAAGAGAAGGCTGAATCCTTTCAGCTGGAGTGACAGTGCAAGAAGTAGATAAAGATGACCGAGTCACAGAAAGACAATAAATGTAAAAAAAAGGGAAAAACCGATAAGAAAGTACGTGCTATTGCACGTTCCAGACAGTGATAAGGAAACGCAGAGAAAACAGTAGGTAGTGGTCTATGAAAACATTAAAAATTATATTTAAGACTGTTTCACCGAATATAGCATTCTTTATACTTTTATTATCTCTTTAAAATGTTCAATATTTATTTTTTTAAAAGCATACTATATATTATCCATTCTCATTAACACTTAGTCGTTTCTTCCAAGAAAGGTTTGTGTTCGCGTCTAGTTTCTTTCCTTAAACAGATACATGGTGAAGAACGCAAAGCTAATCTTTTTAAAAGTGTATGAAGTTTATTGTTTAACGCAAAGAAACTTCTTGCTTTCAGATGTTCCTGGCTGAATACGCAGGACCCCTGCTGATATACCTCCTCTTTTATTTGCGGGTTTCCCAAATATACGATGTGAAAGAGAGCGCCGGACGACTGCGCCACCCGGTGGTCCAGTGAGTAACGCGCTAGTGCGTCCGGGATGTGGTGGAGCGCGGCGGGTGCTCGCCCGCCGGTGGCAAGCTGAGAATCGTACCTGCCTAGTGTGTGCCATCTCAGAGCTTGGTAACTCAGTACACTGTGGAACTGTGCTTTGCAACTGCTGCCCAGATTGGGAGATTTTCATACTTTATGTTTCTACTAAGACAAAATAATAATAATAATAATAATAATAATAATAATAATAAATTTAAAAAAATTGGACATAAAACCATGCTGAAGTAGAAGACATTTGATTTAGTTAATTTTCTCTAATTGTTGAGACAAAATACCCAACACCCAACGCTAAAAGGGGAGCGGTTTATTGAGCTCGTAGTTCCTAGAGGCTCGAGTCCACATCAGCTGGCTCCAAGGCAGCGTGGGACACAGCAAGGGCATCACAGAGAAGCAGGCCAGGTAGCCACAAGGTAGCCACAGCAAGAGGGAGCAGACGAATCTCTCTGTCCCTTATACTGTATGCAGTCTTCTCGCCTGAGGGCGTTTGTGGCACTCACACGCTTAATCCCGAGGGAAATAGGCCAACCAACTAGCAGCGTGATTTACTAGTCACACACTCGTAATCCCAGCATCACACGCTTGCCATTCCGCAGCCTCCGAAAGAGCCTTATGACCATGTGAGGCTTTCGGGAAACGTCTAGACACAAACTAGAGCAACACACCATAACATAGGAAGGTAAAAAATTATGAATTCAACACAATTATGTCCCATAAACCAGGGATATTTGCAATAAGCAGATACTTGTTAATAAAAGTTAGTTATAAACCTTATTAAGTAGGCTCAAGTATAGGAATGTGCTGCTTAGGAACTATTCATAGGTTATACAACAAGTTTGTAAATATATAATTATAGAACTAGCAGATATACTGCAAATAGAAATAAGTAATAATGACCATAATAAAGAAAGTAGAATGAGAAATTCAGAAATATCATTTAAGAAAGCTAATCCTTAACAGACAAAAAGCCATGTACTGGGCTCAAGAAATAAATATGTCTCCATAAGTCCCATGCAAATTTGGCATGATTGCACAGGACAAAAATCCTAGCACTCCTAGCACCGAGGTAGGGGCGGTGCCAATTCAAATCCAGTCCCAACAACTTAGCAAGAGCTCATCTCAAAACATATAAATAGGGCCAGCGAGATAGCTCAGCAGCAAGCACAAGGTCCTGAGTGCAGTCCTAGTACCACTATATAATATGTAACATATATGCCAATATATTACATGTATATGTATAAAAATGGTGGGGATGCAAAGCATTTGAAAGCCTAAGTTTTAAGTCCCTAGTGTTTCACATGAAAGACATGGGCAATGCTGCAAAAGAAAATAATAATGAACTAAATAATAAGTAGAAGCAAAAGTTTCTCGGGTTCACTTTAGTAAATCAAAATTCAAACATCAAACAATAATTAAAATATGGCTTAAAAAGAATAAGATAGTTATCGAATATTATAATTTAATGTACAACTATTATTGTGGTACCAAGGCTAGGACTTGAACCTTACACTTTCCAGGCAGGCTCTTATGCCACTGAGCTATCCCCTGGCCCCAAATATTATTATTTAATGTGTTGTAAAAATAACATGTAAGACAGTATGCCAAATTAAACAGAAAACTGATTATTTAATATGTCACATTAGGTTGTTGAGTATAAATATGCTAAAAGAAAATACAAATTCAACAAATACCATGCATTACAAAATACTCTGGGTTAATTAACAAAGTATAAATATTTAGACTTAGGGATCCTTTTCCTTTTTTATCATAATTAAATCACCATGAGCCCTTTCTCACATGCCCATCTAATGACGCCGTCCCCAGCATCAACTTTCTTTGCTTCTTTTTGTTCTCTTATTTGAACTTCAAGTAGAAAATCAATATTTCTTACTTGGACAACCATTCCTGCTCCTCCCATAACAACGGCCCTGTTAAATGGAAATTTCTCTGAGCAACTCATACATGAAAATTTTATTTCACAGAATCATGCTTTGTTGTTCCCTCTTTAGATTTCAAGTTTTATACTGGACATGTTTCAGCGCCTGTACTATTATTGCTATTTAATACATTACTCATTACATGCATTACAGGAAATACTCAACAAGGTGTTTGAATGAAAAGACTAAGTCAATACACTTTGTATTTTATTTTACTTTATTTCATTTTTGTCTTCCTTTGAGACAGCGTCTCACCAGGCAGCTTAGGCTGGCTGGAGCTCACTTTGTAGTCCAAGCTGGTCTTGAACTTGCACCGCTCCTCTTGCCTTAGCTTCCCAAGTGCTGGGATTACAGTCATGCATCACCACGCCCTGCTAATACACATAGATAATTGCACTGAATGTTTTGAAAGGATAAAAGGAAAAATTCTAATGTGAATTGATCTTTTTAGATGGCATTTCTAAGTGACACAAAAACATTTTCCTTTGTTTCCGATGGAATGAATTAGATTTCAACTACTGAATTTGAGAAATTCATACATGGAAAGAATCTGTGGTGCAAAGTAGTTGAGTAAATTATAGGAGCAGAAAGAAGGCAAGTGTGGCCCGGAAGAAAGGCAAGGAGGTTTTGACCAAAGGAGGCATTCACAAAATTAATTCAAAAGTCAGAGATCTGTATGTGACTCTAACAACACAGATTTCTTAATTCTTTGAGGACATACATACTCCAGAACCTCTAGATCCATTAAGGATGAGCTAAGCATTAGGAACGATTATTATCTCAATCTTTCCTTCCTTTTCCTCAGCTGAAACTCGGTGCCCTGCTTTCCTCGCAGCTGTGTGACGTCGCTTCTGTGCTTCATTTCATGATCCGTAACCCCCAGAACCTTTAATGGACAAAGTATCTCAAAATTTCAAATACTGTGATTGAAAAAATAATTGGACCAAAGCTGATTTATGAAGTTACAGTTAGTTTAACAATGGATAGAGAGAGAAAAGGAAAAGTGTAGGTTAGGAAATCAAACATAATTAATTAGGTAATAGTATTTGTAAATGAAATGAAACTTGGTGAGCAGCCAGTGGTGGGCACCGTGGCGTGCAGCCAATCGACTGTAAAACGCCAGGTGCATGCGCGATGTTGCTCTCTATGCCCTTGGGGAAAACCGAAAACAAACAGATGATCTAATGTTAAAGTATCATAGTTTGAACCAAAATTTCTCACTTAAGCTTTGCTTATATTGCTAAGATTCACCTAAATATTTTATTTTCTTACAAAATGATAATTTATATTACTTGGGGTTTTTGCATAACAACTTCCACAAAAGAACCATGAAAGTGTGAGATATTAATTTCTTTACCAAGCCATAGAATTAACAAGACAAAGTTCTGTATGAGGTCCTTTGCCTTTTCTTGTCTTGCTGCCTAGAATGTAAACCAGATCAGCTGACACCCAGACTACTTGTTGTCTTACCTTTCTCAGAATTTAATTATAAACATACGCATCACATAGAACTTGTTTATCACATAATGTCTACATGCTTGGATTTTTATGAAGCAGTAATGCTAGATTTGTTGTTGATTTACCAAGTTAGTGTTTGTTATTTTTGCTTTTACTAAAGTCTTTGCTACTAAAAATCATTAATGCATTTTTCATAAAATAAACTTGCCTTCTGATAACCTCAATACCCATTTTTTATGTGTAGAAACTGCAGCTGATTTTTATTCTCAGTCTGTGAAATTATGACATTACAGGTTTGTGCTGATCGTCTTAACAGCGAAAAAGCCTTTGAGAATTTCACCTTTTCCTTATAACGAAATAGCTACAAACCTTAATGAAAATTATCACTGTAAATCAGATTTGATATTTATTTTTAAGAGTCATTATGCAGAAATGGCAAGAAAAGATGCTATCTTAGAACACAATGATGAAATGCAAAGAGATAAAATATAACATGCAAGAAAGGCAAAGCACAAACTAATAAAATAAAAATTAAATGCTGCAATATGTGTGCATAGAAAATGAAATTCATACTTCTACTATCCTAGTCCCTGCTAAAGGCCAAGAAGACAATTAAGAAATTATTCTGTATATTATAAAATGTCAAATGGATTCTAAGTAGGTTTTAGATATTTTTAATACTTGTAAATTATGTGATTTAATCTTGAGGCATTTTGAAATGAACACATGTGCAATGAGTACGTTTATACCTACTCTTGGGGCAGGTGTGAGCATAACAGTTTATGATTGATATTATAAATTATTTCTGTATCATCCGAAGTAAATTTACAGTCTCATAACAGATGCTATTCATTATTAAATGTTTTAAAAATTTTCTACACTAAAATATCAAATAGTTGTGTTTATTGTGAGAATTATATGCCCTCAAAGATTTTTTATATTAATAAATTATTTAATATCTCATCCATTAGGTAAGCTGGAAATTGGGTGAAATTAAAACTTGACATTTATTCATTTCTTTTTCTTTCTTTTTTTTTTTTTTTTTTCTAGTCTGGCTTGCTTCTGTCATTGCATACATTACATCCGGCATATTTTGGAGACGTTATTTGTTCACAAAGTTTCTGCAGACCATACACCATTGAAAAACTTGATAAAGGTGAGAATTAATACATTCTATATTTTAAATTAATATTGATAAGTTTTGCATGTAAGTCATTTGCAAAATATTAAATTATGTTTTTACTTCTCTACAGTAGGTTTTTCTGTGTAGTTATGTCAGGACATATTCAATTTTCATCTCCTGAAATGAACTTTTTTCACTGGAGCTGCCCTCAAATGGTAGCTGCACAGAAAGAATGAATGTGACATTATGGTAGAAGGTATAGACTGTGAGAAATTGCTTCTCATCTAGGGAGTACTTAGCAATGAATTCAGATTTCTTTTGTGCCACTTGAAAAAGATGAGCCTAACAAATGAATAACTTGAAAAAAATACCTCTCTATGATTAATGGCATTGTATCTCATGATTTCATGGCAACTGTTAATGTAATCTCTGTGTATTTGCTCTTCCAAAAAAGTTTTCAGCATTGAAATGCCTATGTAAAGTGGTACTTTAATTAGAAACGTACTTTAGACAACACCATTTACTTCAACTTTTCAATTCATGTTTAAAATAATGTTCAATTTAAAGTTTATTTTCAAATCATGTATACCATTATAAAAATTCTCTCATTTTGGCAAACATCTCCTTTTTAAAAACTTCCAACAAAGTTTTATAGTTCTTATACTAAAAAAACCTCCCAAATGCTATTACCTCAGAAATCGTTTAGAACATTTTCTCTTTTGAAAGAAAATATTACAACTTATAAATCATAGCAAGATGAAAATGTTATTTCCCAGTACTCTTAATTATGAGACATTTCCTTTTCTAATAAATCAAGTTGTTACTAATGATTAAGTATTTCATTTTTTTAGTCACTGTAAGAATATATCCTATATCAGTTATTATTTATTACTTTATTCTTATTTTTACTTGATTGACAAAGCCATTCTTGAAAACACAAAATATAAGACTGTATGTAGCTGGGGGTCAAAAATCTATTAATATTAATAGTGACGGGGCATAGGAAAGTACTTTTTCAGTCATGTCCAAAAGGTAATTTTAAAATGTTATCTTACTAGGCATAGAAGTATTTTATTTGTTGGCCAGTGAGATAGCTCAGTGGACTAAGTGCCTGCTTAGGTGTGCACAAGGACCAGGGTTCGATCCCCTGTACCGCATGAGCACCAGCCCTGTCCCCAGGAGCTCTGAGCCAGCCATGGACTCCCAGCATGGTGAAACACGCCTGTAATCCCAGTGCTGGGGAGGCTGAAAACAGGAGGATCACTACTAGTCTGGGCTGTGTAGTGAGACCCTGTACCAAGTACATTTAAAAAAATAATCTATGTGCCCAGTTTACTCAATATATTATATTTCATAGAAGAAAGTTTCAAATATATGATAATGAATAAGGGCATATTGAATTATATCTTTTATTACTTTTATTTTGCTGTGTTGAATCTATAGAGCTGTGCCTTGTATTGGGGATTCACTTCTTGGATTGCCTACTACATTAATCACCCACGTTATACACCACCGTGTAAGTAGAATTTCTTCAAAACTAATCCTGTGCTAAATTACCACCTGAGAATTCTGCATTAAATCATTAAAAACATGAAGAATCTGGCATTCTTAAAGCAACAATTGATAAAAAAATGCTAATGTCAAACTTCTCTTATATTATAATTTACTAAATTTTTATGTAGACTACAAAAATAAAATTTGATGGATATACTTTGAACTTTTCATCTATGGGGGAAGTCTAGTAAATTTATTAGTTGATTGCAAAACCTCAAAAGGAAATATAAAACAAAATAGTGAATACTAAAATAAATATCTATATAATTATATATTTATGAAAAATTAGCCTATTTTAAGCTGTTTTAAAAGCTAATAGCAAATATTTAATTTATTCTAAATATGTCAGTGAGGAAAAAGAGGTAATTTTCCCTATAACGTACTGGTTCCTACCTATAACTATTTATTGCGTATCTTGGTTTCTTTGACTTGGATTGGCAATGTGTTGGAAAATGTCGTGCACCCCCGCTAAATCTTCAGTTTCTTACCTCAGGAAAGCAGGCCTGACCCAATCAAGGAGTTCCATTTCTTTTCTTCAGGTGCAATTTTCAAAGTTTTTACTGTTGTCCATGAAGTAAACAGAGAAGAGCCCATGAAGTAAATGTTTTCCCATTTAATACACAATCACTTTATGTTTCATTTCTGGTATTTGTAAAGCTAAAGATAAACTGAAATTAGTGGGCTATTCAAGCTTTATTTTAAGTTTTAGAAATTAATAATCTGGTCTAATATCTTTTCCTGAAATATTGACAGTTATTTAGGGTCATAGTTATATTCAATGACCTAAGCTGAGTCTATGAAGAGAACCACATGACACAGTTTAAAATTTTAACATTAATATTAATTATACAGGGGAAAATTTCCTGCTCTCATGTAACAGATGTTCTGAATATTTTATAACAAGATGTAGTTAACTGTGGAAGAAATACATGTGCTCCAAAGTATTTTGATAAGATGACCCTGTGAAAAATATTAACAAATACCATAGCAAATAGTACATTGATTTTGTTAATGTATGTAAAACATTTACTATATTTGCTAAAATTACACAACTGCTACTTTTATAATTGGCAAATAATGTGTTAATATCCCCCTTTTATTTTAGGGGTAAAAGGCCTCTGAACAATTAATTCACTGTGATAGTCAACCTTAATTACATAAAGTGAAGCAGTCAAATTTCATAGAGGCCCCTACTGAATCATAATACTTCTTTCAGGTGGAAGATGTCTTGTATATAACATTCCTATTTTGTATGTTTTAAATATATGTTCAGTTCAAATGCACATTCAGTTATTTGGTTCCTTAAATAATGACGAGTACTTCTTGCTGTGGCTTTAATTTCAGTTACTTCAGTGTGAATTACAAATGTATGTAGGACTGGCCAGATAGCTCAGCTGACTAAAGTGCCTGCTTAGGTAGGGGTTTGATGTCTGGCATGCCTGCCAGCCCCACCCCCAGAGCGCCCTGTGAGGGTGACTGAGACTGGCTGTGGTGGCACACGCCTTTAATCCCAGGGCCTGGGAGGCTGAAAACAGGAGGATCACTAAGAGTCTGATCTGTGTAGTGAGACCCTGTAGACCCTGTACTAAATAAAATAAATAAATAAATGGAGCATACGCTGCATAGATAGCTACTCAGTGTGTGTAACACTGTGTAACACATGGATGCATAGGCTGATAAGCAATGGAAACGACTGAGATCAATGATGAACAATAAATGTGTGACATGACATTCAATGACAACTACATGTCTGTTATTCAGTTCACTCACAATCTCTAAAGCTGATGCCTTCTTATTTTCCTGTAATAACCTGAGTGATATTTTTAATTGATAATTGGAAGAGAAATGGATCAACAAAGATGGGCATGCAGCAAAAAAAACAAGAGATGATAGCCAGGGAGGAGGGTCATAAGTGTTAGGTTAGCCTAGGCAACTCAGCAAGCTCCATCACAAAACAAAATATAACACAAAGGTCTGGGGACATAGTCAGTGGTAGAGTCCCACTGGTTTAATTCCAAGTGCAGAGGAAAATCCTGTAGACAGGATAATGCTACCATTAAAATTTGAAAGCATTTGTGATGAAAAAACATTAAAAAGTTGAGTAAATGTGTACATTAAAGACATCACTGGAGGCAGTTCTTACACTGGAAGTGCAAGGAGATGTGTTGAAATGGATGCAGATCTGAAAAAGGGCCCATCGTTAGGCCTCGGGTGCGCACAGTCCATGCAGATACAGAAATGATTCACACTAGGAACTGCAGCTCTGTGCAAGAAGATATTTTTCTGAGCTAATCATATTTTTTTCTTACAAGGAAATAAAATACTTCAACCCTCAATCATTCTCATTTTAAATTCCAATAAACTACATAAATGTTAGTATTATTACATTTTTATTTTCATATGAACTTAGAACTGGCACTGAGAGTTGTTAATGATTTTGAAATTGGAAAAAACCAGACTTTCCCTCATTTTTAAGGTCTCATACAATAATGCAAATAGAAGAGTACCTGTATTTTCAAAATTGTCTTTTATTTTTTCAAAAACATTAAAAGTGAGCATCCTATCTAATTCACTGGTGTGGAGTCCCTCCTTGTAACTACAATGACATTTGAATGAGTTTTGGCTTGTTTATTAGAGACTTAAGGTAATTTTCACATTAAAATAATATGTAAAATACAATCACATCTAAGTAAACATAATTTTATTCTGTTAATATTTATTTTACGATAACATTTCCCATAGAAAATCCTTACTGATGAAAACAAGATCCCCCCACCACCAAGGACATAATGGGTTATTAAAACATAATACAACATGAGTGGAGTCCAGCACTGACTTCTCTATTCAACAATTACTCATAGAGCATCTGTCCCAGGATTATGCTGTGCACAGTGGAAGAAAGACAACTACAAGCCTTATATTCAAGTTGCTCATTTTGCTTTCAGTACATGCAATATTGTGAAATTCTATGAGCCCCTATGCTTTTGGCCTTTATTATTCTGTAACCATGAAAGGTACATAACTTTCAGTTCACAATATTGCATGAAGACTAGAAGACAACAAGAGTGAATATTTTGGAGACTACTTGGCATCTTCAGAAAGAACTGTCAATGGGAAGTTCTGCTTAAGGAGGTGTCACTCCTTAAACAGCATGTGATGGGACAGTTATTTTTTCCTTGCACTCACCCAATAAAGTAGTCATACATTAACTATTATTAGCTCTTCCTGTGTCATTGTCACCATGCAAAACAATTGACACATCTTATCACTTTTAATCATTAAGAAAATATAACACTAGTGTTGGGTGTTCTGGCAAAAGACTGTAATTCCAGTACTTGGGAGGCTGAGTCAGGAGGGTCATTGTTAATCTGAGGCCAATTTAGGCTACACAGTGATTTCAAGGCCAGCCCTTACTACATAGTAAGCCCTTGTCTCAAAAAATAATAATAGTACTACCAATAATCTATCTCCATTTGACTAGGGCTATAGCTACATTTACAAAGTGCAGGCAGATTTTTCCAAGTTTGCTCAGCAAGTAACTAGGATAGGATCTACAGTTTAGATGCAGAAAGAAATAACCTAGGAAAGACTAGACATTGTCATAAGACAGTAAGAAAAATGTCAAGGAAGCATATCAATTTGTTCATGAGTTTTGATCCAGTTAGTATAGGCTCCTTTTTCTTAAATTTATAGTGATATAGGTTAAATTAACTGGCCTAATTAGCCTACATTAGAGTGTTTTAATCTGTCATATGTGTGTGTCAGGTATTAGACTTTATTTTTTCTTGGAATTTACTTTTTTTGCATTTATAATCCAAATAATCATACCCTGAATTTATTATCTCTTCCTAAGACTGTTGAAAAATTCCCTTATCTTTTTTTACTCTTAGATTAGTATTAATAAAATATTTAATTCAAGCAAAAGGATCATATATTAGATTGTGAATATTCAGTGTTACACCTAAAGAGAACAGAGTCCAAACCATATTATCTGCAGGTGATTTAAAATAGACCTTACAAGTACAACCTAAATACAAACAAATTAAAACACATTAAAAACCCTCAAAAATTGAATCTAGAAACTACAACATTTCTAAATAAGTATTCAGTTAAAAGCAAAAAAAAACACTAAAATTAGAAGAATCATATGAATTATAGAAAAGTCTATGACAAGAAATAGTATATAAAAAATAGTATATACAAAATAGTATATACAAAAATTTTATCAACACAATTATAATCCAATGAAGTATGTATTAAGTCCATACTTTCTTTTCAAATATATTCTACTTTAATAGTGCTCTGCATTAAGTGCATGCACTTAAAGTTGGAAATGAACAATTGATCTAAATTCTACAAGGTTCTAGTCAGAAATTTTCTTCAAAATAGCAAACAGTGGTTAAATTTAGTGGCACTTTGTGTGTCTTTTCCAGCATACAGTTGGGCATTGCATATGCTATTTCACTTACATATTCCTGTATTTCATTCAAGATACATTTTCTTGTAGTATTGAATTTTATTTTTATGTTTTTACAGACATGGTTATAATTTTTACTGCTGTTCTTAGCTGCCTGAATCAACTGCATTTCTTTTTACCACACTTCTTCCAGCCATTGCTCTGCTAGCCCTGACATTGTCACAATCATCATCATTCATCTGCAATGAATTTAACTTAGTAAGATTAATAGCATATACACACTAATACATAGTATCATAAATAAAAACATAATGGATATTCATTTGCAACACACACATTTTCTATACAGATTAAATAAAATTTAAAAGTAAAATAATTATTGTATTGAAAATTAATCAATGGTGAGACTTTATCACTACTCCCAATCAAGAATGCACATGTCCAAAATAAAAGAATAACTGCCTTGTAGGTTGCCTTGATAATCTAAATGCAATTTTTATTTCACTTCTGTGCATCAAACTGAAGGTCTTGCTTATTGTAAGCAAGTGCTTTAATGCACAATTATATCCCCATCCCCAAAGCATGAAGTAACATACCAGTGATTAAAATATTGTAAAATTATCAACAAATAAAGTTTTCTTGCAAGGTTTTAACATGCTCTATGTATCATTTTGATTTTTGGAAATATATATGAAAAATATTTTTAAGATTGAGCTTCACCAAGTATAACTTTTTTTTTTTTCAGAACTGGGGATTGAACTCAGGCCCTTGCACTTGCCAGGCAGGCCCCTATTCTTCTGATCAATCTCCCTGGCCCCAAGTATCTCTTTATAACACAACTCTAATTTATTAAATTTGGGGATGAATTTTGTTTGCTTATTTTGATACAGGGCCCTGCTCTAGCTGGCCTTTGAGCTCACTATGTAACCCAGGGTAACTTTGAACCTGTGGTCATCCTCTAGCCTCAGCTCCCAGAGTGTTGGGAATACAGTACTGTACATCACACCTAGACTCAGTCCCTCTCTTTCTACAGCAATGTATATCCAGTTTTATAGGCCAAAGCACAATCGTATGCTCAAAAGAGACCTTTCTTATCTCTCTGGTTACAAGTCCTTCCTTTCAGTTTTCCTGATAACTAATGCACAAGCCCTTTTGGTAGCACTTATCAGGGTCCCAAACTACCATTCGCCATCTTATGATTAGCGCCTGCTTCCCCATCACATGTGAGTTCTGTCAAACTAAGGATTATATTTGTTTTGTATTTAATTTATAAAAACCATACCAGGGCAGTGTTTGCCATTTGAAATCTTAATAACTATTGTTAAGTAGGTGAAATTTGGACACAGCAGGTATCAGTATAATAAATGTAGGTAGAAATGGATATCATCCAAACATTATAACTTACTAAAGATCAATTATTAGTTATAAAGAAAATATGTAATATTAGGGGAGTTACAAAATTGTTCTGCGAAGTATTATAAAAACATGCAAATATAAACAAATATCTTAAAAGGATTCAGAATTATAGTTTTGTAACTGGTGGGATTTCTCCTTTTGTACTTTCTCTTTGTATATTTTTCATTTTCCCAAATATTCTCCATCTTGCATTTTTTTAATAATTGAATCTATGTGCACTATGAAATCAACCTCTGATCTATGTACATTTTGTGTACATATTTTATAACGTATATTCATGAAAAACTTTTATGTCATCTTTTGACTAAAGTACACTTTCACATTTCTTTTTTTTTGGTGGAAATGGGGATTGAACTCAGGCCCTTTTGTTTGCCAGGGAAGCGCTTATTCCACTAAGCCATCTTCCCGGCCCCACTTCCACACTTCTAATACAAGAAAACAGAACTTCTGTGAAATATTGATTGAAAAGATGTTCAATGTATTAATATTTATCATACAAGAAATTAGTTTCAATCTTTAAATCTTCCCTTCAAATCTCAGACCTAGAAATATAATGTTTCAGTAGTGAAAATATACTTTTTCACTATGGATTCTACAGAAAATGGATGATAATTAATGTTTTGAGTCAGTCAAATCACACAGTATGATGATGAGTATTTCAAAGTGTTTAGAAAGCCTTCACTGTATTATTGTAGAAATAATGCAAATTTCTGAATGACAAATTCTAGTAACTTAATTATAGGTGTTTTTACATAAATATAGTAACCATGCATATATATATATATATATATATGAATAAAAAGTCGGTAAACATGATCACATCACATAATTCCATTCTTAATATTCTTAATAATATATTCTAACATTTTTACCATGGGAAAGGTGTCTTGAGGATATTGTATTGAATTTTACTTTATACATTACTGTATGTAGTCCCAGGAACTTAAATAGCTACATTTTTAAGGTAAGTTTTGTTAATAGAAAATAGTACTTGCTTCATGTATTTGCCTTTATTGTAAACTACAAAGCATTTAAAGTAGTATCTGCTTAAAAACATCTCCATGAATATGCAGATATTCAACATTGAATTGATTTTTTAAGTTGTTGGAAGGATTTTTTTTTTTTTTTTTTTTTGGCTGGCTCAGGCTGCCTTAAGGGCAGGTCTGGTAAGGTATGTGGAGCAGGGTATTGAACAGCTGTATGCTGGGCCTGACTGAATTTGCATAAACAGGTGCTTAAATGACTAAGCTAATCAGCAGGCCCCCTTAAATTGTTAGGAGTTAGAATCATTTGGATTTCTTTTCATTGTTAAACATTCAAAACAGGTATTATGGGGTATTCTCAGTAATAGGCCATACTATGTTTGCCTTTAAAATAATAAATGAAAAAGAGAAAATGTGACTACAAAAAGTTTAATGAAAATTCATTATATATCACATTCACTCCATTCCATTCTAAATTATTTTATTTATTTATTTATTTATTGGTGGAACTGGGGATAGAACTCAGGCACTTGTGCTTGCCAGGCAAGTGCTTATTCTACTGTGTTATCTCCCCAGCCCCTAAATTATATATTTTAAATATCATTAGATTACTAAAACAAAAATGCATGTGGAGAGAAAAAATATTTGATGCACTTTAGATTGCAAAAGTATCATTTAAAAAGGTCAATAATATACTACACATCACTATTAATTGAAGGGTAGCTACATACAATAAACACTGTCTGAATTACATGTATCATGTAACAGTTCAAAATGTAAGTATTGGGGCTGGGGAGATGGTGCAGTAGAATAAGCACTTACCTGGCAAGCACAAGGGTCTGAGTTCAATTCCTGGTTCTGCAATAAATAAATAAATAAATAAATAAATAAATAAATGTATCCTGCATCTAAAAAAAAATGCAAGTATTTGCATCACATTTTCTTTTGTTACTTTCTAGCATTTGGAAACAGACAAATTGCAATATCTGCTATCAATTTCCTGGTATGTATGTTTGGTATTATTTGTACACATGTACTAATGTTGTTATTAATAATATAAAATACATTTTATTTGAAGAATTTGTCACTTAAGAAATATTATTTCATTTTCATTCTGTAAAACAAGACAAATCAAATAACTTCCTACTATCATGCTGTTAACTCTATAAAAATTATGTTACATGCTATTAAAATTATTATTAAATAACTTTATAATCATATTAGTATACAAATATTTTAATGAAAAATGCTATAGTTACTTAAGAAAGATATATATATATATATATATATATATATATATTCATTTGAAATATAGTACATATTTGAAAAAAGCGTAGTCAATGATTCATCTAATTTACAAACTTTCCAGGGGAAAAAATTTGTTTTACATGTATAATCCTAAAACCACTTTAGCAAAGTTGTTAATTTAGATAATTTAAGAAGAAGAGAAATTCTGAATGCTTCTTTTACTTTACTTTATTCATTTGATACTACCTCAAGCCCAGGGACTTGGTTCTTTCCAAATTGCTTCCAGTCTTATTTTTTCAACCATATAATTTTACTAAACACATACACAGTGTAAGTTAATGCTTCATACTTCACTATAGTTCTTCTCCCATGGCTTTTCTTTATGTATTTGCAGCTCATGTGAGTTATACACAGCTTCATATTCTTTGAGAACTTTTACTGAAAGACCCACAATCCACCTTCTAATACAAGGAATATGTTACCCGCCAGTTTTTGTAGGAATTGTCCACTCTTACACTTTGTGCAATATCATTGTTAAATTGTTACTACAATAACGCAAGAGAAAAAAGATGAAGGACACATACAGGGAAGGAAGAATTCAAATTAAGCTTATTTCTATATTTCAAAGACTAAATATTCCACCAAATGTCAGTTTTGAGCTGATAAATGAATTCAACAATGTAGCAAGCTATAGAATAAACATTATACAATCAATAGCTTCACTGTACACCAACAATAGACGAGGTAAGAAAAATGTTAGAAAAGCAAATCTATTCATAATAGCTTGTAACACTTAATCAATTTCCTAACATCAACCCAATCAAATTTCCTACAATGAAAATTTCAAAACATTGAAGAGCTTGAAGAAAAAAAAAACTAGAATATGGAACATTCACTCATGTTACTGGTTTGCCAGAATTAATATTGTTTAAAAAGCCATATTGCCAAAGCAATCTGTAAATTCAGTGCAATCCACAGCAAATTACCAGTGACATACTTTTTCACAACTACAAAAATGAATCTCAAAAATCCATATAAAGATGCAAAAAGTTGACAACATAATCCTAAGCAGAATGAGTAAGACTGGAAACATTACAAGAACCAACTTCAAATGTATTTCAAAGCCATTGCAACAAAAATTTCATGGTACTGGGATAAAAACAAACATGCAGCCAGACAGAACAGAAGAAAACACAGCAACAACCCATATCACTGCAGTTATCTGATTCTGGAAAAAGGAGCTCTAAAATTAAATTGGAAAAAACAAACAAATAAAAAAACAGGCCCAACAAATAGTATTGGAAACACTGAATGTCCACTGCTAGAAAATGAAAACTAGATCCTCCCTCTATACAATTAATTCAAAATCAACAAATAACATAGGCATAAAGTCTGAAATTTGGAAACTACTATAAGAAGGCATAGGAGGTACACTTGAAGTCACAAGGATAGGCAGAGATTTTCTGAACAGGAATCCAGTAGGAGGAAATAATAGCAGGAAACACCAAGTAACACTACATCAAATTAAACAAATAACAGAAGGAAGAGAAAACCTACAGAATGAGAGAAAATCTTTGCCAGCTACTCTTATGACAGAGGATTAATTTCTAGAATATATGAAAACATTGGGAATAACTAATACCAAAACACAAAACATCCAAATAAACAAATGCAAACAAACTGAACAGACACTTCTCATAAGAAGTGTAAGTGGCCATAAATATATGAAAAAATGTTGGATATCTTTAACCATTAGTTAGATGTAAATAAAAATGTCGCAGAAATTCTCTCACCCTAGTCAGAATGCCAGTCATTAAGAATACAAAGAAAAACAATTAGGGGCTGTAACTACATGGGGAAGGATGGAGGAGAAGAAACACTTCTATGCTGTAGTGAACATAAATTAGTGCAGTCACTCTGAAAATCAGTAAGAAGATTCCTCAAAGAACTAAAAATACAGCTGCCAACTACAGTACTCCTCGGTATGCGCTCAGTTAGAATACACATACTGTAGCAGTATTGCACACCTGTGCTTCAGGCTGCAGGCTGCTGGGGCAGAAGGAGCAAGTCAGAGTGAAGGAAACACGAGGCAAAGGTTGATTTAGAACATAGCAAATGTAAGGAAGCGCTGCCAGCTAGCAGGATACTTACGAGGCTGGGGAATTTCACCTGACTTCGCGGCTTGTGCTCCTCGCTGCTGATACTTATATCCTTATAAATGTTTCCCTGGCTGGTCTAATCACAGCCAACCATGCTCTTAGGCTTTGCTTCACAGCTGGGGGAAAGGTCAGGGGCTGAACATTTGGCAGGGGCTGCTTCTTCCAGGACGTAGTGCAGGTGAGCCTGAGGTCAGTGCACAGCCCTCAGCTGCCCCCTGATGCCCTACACCTCTCAGCCACTAACTATCCTTGTGAGTTTAAGACACCAGGATGCAGGAGCACCCACCCTTAATAGTACAGAAATCAGCCAATGTAAATGTAACAGAGAACCATAGGAATTACTCCATTTCTCTGAGTTTGTTTGATCTGATCATACACTTCAAAAATAAAGCATTGTTAAATTTCTATGTTTGAAGAGACTTTTAAAGACTGATTTGTTAAGATAAAAGAAAAAATAATTTTAATTATAAATAGTACTGAAGACATGTACAAATTTTCATAGCAGTGCAAAATATCAAATGTGATTGCATTTCATAGGGATTTAGAAATTGAGACAAAGCAATTCTATTACTCCTTCAAAAATAAAATATGATCCCAATTATAGAAATGCTTGCCAGACCTAGCATTGCTTAATGAAGATGAAGGCACCTAAGGCATTCAAATTTTGCAAAGAATTTGTGTCAAGTTTTAAATTTCAGGAAATTGATTCTATTCAGAATATAATAACTGAAGTAATTGAATCTGTGTATTCAAATTCAAGAAAAACTACACATTATTTTCAAATCATACTGTAACATTCATGTTTTTAAAGTAATAACTGAAAGTATAGATGCATGAATATTTCAGGCTTACAACAGGTACTATTTGTGTAAACTGTATGGAAAGAATAGGAAACCTGATTTAATGTCCAGAGACTATTTAAGTCATTTTATATTAAAACTATCAGCACATAGTGAAATCAAATATTGTGCAGAATGAACAAAGGAAAAATTGTTTTCTGTAATAGAGTCTTCAATGGAAAAAATCTATCTACATTGCACATGTTTTTAGTAATAAAATATGTTTTATTACTAAAATATGTTTTATTACTGTTTTCCAAATATGCAATTCTAACATATTGATCTATGAACATTTTTAATATAAGAAACTGCATTATTCATTTGAATTGATTTAATTATTCTTGCTATGTAGGACCAGATTATCACTTTGTAATCAGATGACATATTAGAACCATGCTGAATACGACTATGGTTGACTCTTGATTACTCATGGAGGAGTAATCCATTTTTTTACTAACAATTAACAATTATAATTTTCTCTTCAACTGTCTATGATTTATTTCAACTGATACTCTAAGTTATTGGAAATTTTAAGATATATACCCTCCAAATCAGTCATTTTCAGTGGAAAATTCTTTGATTTTGATGAGTTCCATGCTATGGACACCACATTTTTAAGTTCTCTCTCTCTCTCTCTCTCTCTCTCTCTTTCTCTCTTTTACTTTGACTACAAGTCTGCAGTCCTTCATGAACTCGTATGCTGTGGGGGAGTGGTACATGTACATAGCACATTTCAATTTTTCTTTTTACTTCCTCTCTCCACGCATTTATTTTTCCAGCATCAAATCCTTTTATTTATTTTATGAGGCCTTATCAAGTGGATCATATGTACAGATTTAAACCAGGCTAATAGGCCAAAGAACATACAAACTATATAAGGCAACTCTACTAAATCAAAGCACAATTTCAGATACTTTATCTTCCATGAAATATTTTATTACTTCTTTTGCTTAAAATTTTCTCAGACTCTCAATATAAATTTTATTATTCATTCCAATATCTTCAAGAATCATAAACTTACAGTACTAAACAAATATAATGAAGTGTATAAGTATAAATAGCCCCAAAATGCTTTAGTGTAATTTGTTTTTCTGCCCTCGATACTCTCAATTTTTTTTTTTTTTTTTTTTGTATTTTTTAGGGAAGGGTCTACAGGGTGTTCAGGGTCTCACTACTAGATCGGACTCGTGGTGATCTGTCTGTTTACAGCCTTCCAAGAGCTGGGATTACAGGTGTGCGCCACCACGCCCAGTGCCAGTTGCCCTCTCAGTACCCCCCGGGGGCGGGGCCAACAAAGCAGGCCTGGAGATAGAACCCCGGCCCCTGAACCTGCTTGCAGGTGCTTTAATCTGCTGAGCTATGCTCTCAATTATAGTGTCTATAATTCTTATGTTTCCCCAACTTGTCTTCATTTTGGAATCCTACTCCACTTAAAATGCAACAAATAAAGCAAAAAAATAAAATTTTCAAAGCAAATATTATGTTTAAACAGCAGTCCTGTTTACCTTGTATTCTTTTCCTCTCCAATTTTTATTCTCTAGGAGCAATTATGGTTTTCCGGTTCTTTGCACAATGAGTATTTCATCAAAAATTGTAATTTGCCCTTTCCCTCTCCACTCTTGCTGTAAATACAAATAGCACGAGCAGACAGTGATATATGACATGGTTTCTAAAGTCCTGAAAGCAGCTCTTCTCTATTTGTGTGGGTCTTGAGTGTCACCATTAGGTATTCTCTCACTGGTGGACTTTTATTATTATTAAAATGGAGAATTTCTGGGAGAGGTAAAAGACGTGTCCTGACTGAGTGGGCGCACCAGCTCTTCTGTGTTGGAGAGTGGCTCGGGAGGAGGGCGGCGATCTCGACGGGGAGAGAGTACCCAAGGGAAGGGCGCTTCGCAGCCTTTGCTCCAGGTGCGAGTGGGCAAACCTGTGGCGGCTTTCCAGAACGGACAGAGGTCGAGGAGGGATGAAAAGTAAGCTCAGGTTTGGTTGTGACATTTTTTTTTTCTTTTTCTTTTCTTTTCTTTTCTTCTTTTTTTTTTAATTCCTTCATTCAGTGTTGGTAGACATCACGGTAAAGACTTACAGTCCACGGCTCTGTGTGTGGATACTCGCAGTTTCGTTTCCCCGCCGCTGTCCTGGGGCATCTAGTTTAAGTGACGGAGAAAACAGCCCTTGCACTTGCATGTGTTGCGTCTCATTGTTCAGTGAAAGTTTTATTTGAAAATTGGAGTGGAACAGTAATGATGTGAAATTAATGTGGACAGCTTTGGTATTTTATTATTTTTGTTAAAATTGTTGATTTAATTGACTTACCTTTAGTACATTATCAAAATTAAAAATCAGTTTCTACTATAAAATTTTAGTTGGCACAATGTGTAAAATAAAAGCTAATTTCAAAAAAGGTTCTTGAGTGATTAGGGTAAAAAACAATGATTTCGTGAGGACTCACTCCAGAGATACTGTATATAAACAATGTATCTTTTTGAAAAAATAATGTATAGTACTTAATTTTATAGTGCTATAGTCTTATACTATTTGTCTAAAATCTCATATTACACAATATTTCATGAAATATCTATAGACTAAAAGATAATTCCAGAATTAGAAAGGTTTTTATAATTGGATGGACCTTCAAAAAAGAAGAAAATTTAAACATTTTAAACCATTAGTTACAATTTACTGATTGAATAGCTTCATGGCAAAGATGATGCAATACTTTTCATGCAACATGAATTGATAGCAACTATCAATATGCAGTTTTATATTATTTAATATAAGACCATACTTGAATTCATTAAATTTTTAACATTATTCATTTTTTTGTTTCCATATTTTCTTATTTTAAATAGTAAAAACAAAAAGAAAAGCAAAAATAAATAAAAATAAAAACAAAAACAATATACAAATACAGATGGTACAGAATTTCATTATTCATTTTCAAAATTAACAATGTTTTACTTCACATATATATTTTCTATTAAACCTATAATTAACCTGCTAGAGTTTTTTTTTTTTTTTTTCTGAAACACATGCATCTCATCAGAAGGATGTTTGTATAAAGATTTGAAAGTATAGTAGGGTTTTCATAATAAAAATGTAGAGATTAGGCATTGGAAAAGTATAATTTTATGTGCATAGTAATCTAAATTATCATAAATTAGAAGATTTATGAATATTGAAACAGAGTAATATTGGTTTATGTTATCAAATATCATTTTCCTCTATGTGAATACACATTATCTACTGAGATTAAAACTACCTTCCATAACTCAGAATATTTATGAATTTCACAGATGAAACACATTCATATTCATCCAAATATTATCTTATTTTTGCAAAGTTCATTAAGGGAAAATAAAGAAAACATTTTTCTGTAGGCATCATTATAATAGTTATAAATATAGATAATAAAATAGATGAGACCCAGAGAAACTAAAAGTGAGTGTTTGAAATGGTTTGTTCATTCTGGATTTCAATTAAACCACTTGTGGCCATACTCATATTATAAATAAATCACTACATCTGTGGCATTAATAGTAATGATAACAATAGCAATACCTGTATGATGAGAGAACATTTATGATGAATAATAAAATGATAGTTTTCATTTCTACAAAATATATCTGATTGCACTAGGAGGACTGATTTTTTCTTGTGGAAGTCTAATAATTTTTCGAAAACAAAAAGACAAAGCCTAACTATTCAAAGGCTACACATTCTTCATTAGGATGCTTGGACTTTGGACTTAGTTCCAAAGAGAAATGATTTCCAGAAATTCAAAGAAAAAATAGTTTAGCCTGATTGTAAGGAAGAACAATGCATTGTAAAAATGATGTAAGAGTAAATGACTAGAAGTTGGTCTACATTGATTTTTGGTCGCTGAACGTTGGTCACTGGAATCTACAGTGACAGTAGGCAGAGGACCAATACCCTGTACAGTACTAGACAATGAGAACCTAGTAAAGCCTCATATATTTTGATCCAATTTTGTTTTTGAATATGAATAAATTAGATTTAACAGGAGATATATTTAGATAAATTTTATGGACACATATATGATACATTATTTCTGATATATTAACCAAAATCTTTCCTGAACCTGTTCGTTTGACACCAAACTTATTTGTCTGTTGGTAAATAGTAGTATTTATTAAAATCAAAGTATCACAGAACTTTGAGAAAAGAGGACCTTAGAAGAAGTAAAAGTGTTTTTTTCTTTTTTCTAATTGAAAACATTTTTTAAAAGATGATTTTCTGGTGAGAACAATATTTCTTTTCAATTGCATTGATTATTAATTTCATAGCTCACTTTATCCACAGGATAATATCCTCTTCTTAAATTAAGATATAATTTTTGGATTTGGAATTCACATATTACATGGACTATATGTATATCGAGAATATACGTTTAAAATAGGCACAGTTGTATCATACTGAAAAAGTTTTAATATGTTTTGTAGATTTGTGAGGCTGGGAATCATTTCATCAATGTAATATTGGCTCATCCCAATCACACAGGTTAGTTTATTTTTCTTTTTATCTTCCCCAGAGAACTGTGATAATTTTAAAACCCTATTTATCAGGTTTTTAAAGGGTAACAGTAGTTAGAAAGATTCAACTAAACATGCGGATAAAGGAACCATATGCCTTATTCTGGTTTTGTTTTATATTAATATACCAATCAATTCATCTCTGAACTGAGCTCAAAAATTTTGTTCTTGGATTTTATCTTAAAGGAAAGTTAGCTAAATATAAAAATTGAAAGAGTTACATTGGTTCCTCAGTAGAGTGTGATATGGGTGACGGGGTCCCTACTTATGAAATTCCTGAGTACACTATTACTTACTTATGTTTCATTCTAAATACAAAAATTCCATTGTAAAATAAACCATTTCTGGAATGACTAACATATGAATTAATATGTATGATATTACTCAAGTCATGAAGTCCAGTTATGGCTGCCTGGTTACGTAGTGTCCCTTGAATATGTTCGTCATCATCAGAATTCAGTAGTAATGTAAACTTTTTCTCAAACAGGTATAGTGCTCCATTAGAAGTAGAGCACGCTTGCTTTCCTGTGCTGTTCATCATTATGCCATGCTTTTGGGGCCTGTAGAAAGCATTGCACATTATCTTTTCCTACCACTGACAGATTTAATATGTGGGACTTAATTATAAGGTCCAGTTGCAGGATTGCTTATATTAAAGCTTCAGTCTGTTACAATTGTCTGCCTTTAATGCGACTAAAGTACTGCACATTTCTCTTATGTGGTGTGTGACTCAAGCCAGTTTTTCCTCATGTATAATATAAAACCTCCACAACTAGAAAAGGCCTACAAAAATAATTAAAATGTATAATGTACATTATTCCTCATGATAAATATGATCACTATGTACTAATAAAATATTCTTTATGATTCATTGTAAGGAAAATAAAGCTAATTTGATTCACCTTTGTTTTAGAGGAGGAAAACTACATTTGTAAACTGGGTGCCTATGCATGTCCATGTACCTAACGCTGGGTTAATCTGCTTTAGGAAAATGTTCATGTCTTTTTGTTAATTATGGTAGTAGACAATCCTAAAAAGTTGTAATATTTTAATGATCATCCTCAAATTATACCTGACTTTTTAAAGAACTACAGTAAAAAGTTGATGGTGAAATCATGCAGAATACTTCCCAAGCAGACTTTAGATCTTGAGTGCTCCTTGAGATGCAGTATTGTCTTACAGAAGAACAGGTGTCAGTGCAGATTTTTCCAGTGACTTCTCACATTGCCATAGTTACTGCTCCAAAGACTATAAAATTACACTCTTGTTAGCTTTTGCAGCTGTGGAGTTATGTATTATCATCAGTGGAAAAGACCATTCTGGACCTCCTAGAACTAATTTTTTAAAAGTCTTCCCACTGTAGGGTTACTTTACATTCGCTAAAGTATAGAAAATAAATGACCTGAATAAAGGACAACAAGTAACTTACTGAGGTTCTTTAATGAAAGATTATGCAAATAATTCATATATACACTTGTTTTGGTGTGGTAATGTCTTTCTTGCTCCAGTCCACAACTATTTTCTGTCAGTAGGTTTGGAATCTTATGATTGATTTAATTCTAAAAATTTGAAAGGGCTAATAAATTTTATATTGTACAGTTTCTCCCTTTTTTCTGACTGTTGGTCTACAACTATTTTACATGAATTCAATGTTGGGTATTCATCTATCTATACTTTAGGGAAATTGTATTCTATAGACAACCATAATTTTGTGGAGCTCAAGGCTCGTCCACTGTGGCATATGGCTATGTATGTTGTAACTCCAACTGACTTCATTTTCAATGAAGAGGAGAGATCCTTTATTCCAAATCAACCCTAGTTATTTCAGTTCTAAAATTACTTACATCACTTATAGTCACACAGATATAGCAAAGGGCCAACATTAATCTTATTAATGATGAGTCCCTTACACTAATATATTCAAGAACACTTTGAGACACCGGACCTCCTTATTGCCACTCCCACTGGGCCTGGGAAAGTACATGAGAATGAGGCACTTGAGGAAACCCATTATTTGCATAGACAGGAGCTCTTTGTTTTCAGTCTTATGTAGAAAATCTATTTTATGAAATCTATTTATCAAAGTCATCTTCCTATTTCTCTAATCTCTGTGTTCTTTCTTTACTTGCCTGACATTGAAATTTTGACATTTGGTCTCATTACTTTGACATTTCTTTGTACATTTTTCAGGCAGTGTGTTCCACCAAAATATTCAATTTCGTAAACTAAGAGAGGGTTTCAAAGTCATAAACCTACTTTTGGGGCTGGAGAGATAGCTCAGGAGGAAAAGCATTTGCCTAGCAAACACAAGGTCTTGAGTTCAATCACCGGTTCTAAAAACAAAACAAACAAACAAACAAAAAAACCAAACAACCCTACTTTCAGGCAATCTGGTCATTTTTACTTTTATCAAGCACTTTCATAGTCCAATAACATGTGTATTCTAATGCTGTTTGGATCCTACTGGCTAGGTCTTGCATCTCCTTTGGGGTATAGTCCTCTTGTCTATAACTGGAAAGTTTTAAAGTAATACAAAGCTGGCTACTGCTAAAAGCTATAAATGAATATGGAAAAGATCTATTTTTTTTTGTTACTATAGCCCAAATTTTATTTTCCTCAGACACTTATTTATCATATATATACTTCTACTGAAGCTTTCACATACATTTTTACTAAATACATCAAAAATTAAAGTTGTAAGGAAGTTTAGGTTTATGCAGCTCTAAGCCACTATGACAGCTTCTGTATTTCTGGAAGGAAAATCATCTTTTTTAGGTTTCAGGAAGTTTATGAAAACCTAGATGACACGATACTGTCAATGAACGCCTTGGAACAGGAGTTGTATATTCTTGAAACTTGAGTATGGTTGCAATTAGGTACTAGATCCAGGCCTCAGTTGTATGACATTTTATTGCAGAAGGCTGCAGAATTTTTAAGTGCTTCCAAGGGGCAGCTGGGCATGATGGCATGCAGCTGTAATCACAGCACTGGGCAGGCTGAGGCAGGAGTATCACTGTGAGTTAAAGACCAGTTTGGGCTACAAAGTAAGCTGAAGTTCAGCCTGGACTGCATAACATGACCCTGATTCAAAAAAACAAACAAACCAGAAAACAGGAAAATACCAGCAAAATCAAATAATAAAAACAAATTAGTGTTTCCAAAAAGGTCATTTAGTGGGCACATTCAGCTTTTAATTGCTTAATTAATTAAGCAATTAATTTTTAATTAATTTTAATTGCTTAGTTGATATTGTCCATGTCATTCTTAGCTACACTTGTCAAGTACATTCATAGAAATTGCCATTTAATGCCCCTCTTTATATTGGACTTGATAATGCCTTCACTTCCATCAGGAGAACATATCCACGCACCACCAGCAAAAAGTCCCACACTTGCACTGACTCTGTACCCACAACCAGCTCTTTGGAATTTCCCAGCAACAAGGAGCTTGCCTGTGATGGGTCTCCAGTATGTCCAGTAACTCTGAAAGGTCGTTCAAGCAGCTGCTATGTGAACTAGGCTTGGGGCCCTCTACAGAGATCGGGCTTGATTGGAATACAAATGCTGAGATTGAGGCTGCTGCTCTCAAGGTTTAGAGAGAAATGACTTGGAAGATAAGAAAGAAATAATCATGTGTAGATAAAATATCAACACATGATATTTTCTACCATCTAAATAAGCATCTGCAATGCCCACATTGCATACTCTAAAGCTAGTATGAATAATCAATGTTGAGTCATAAATTGGGTCATAAATTTCCCATATTAATGCAATATTGAATTAAAATTAAACAGGACTACTCTGACTTTGACTTTGCTTGCTGACTTCAGCCATAAAATTCCTATAGAACAAGCTTGGAACAATGGCTTCCCATGTACACTCCACAAACCAGCAGAAAAGGCTGGTTACAACCATAATGAATTCAGGTGGTACAACACCTTACTGTAAAAATTTGTTCAACTGTCATTTATTTGTAGGCTAAGGAAACATATCATGGAGAATGTAAATATTAAAATAATAAGTCATAAATTTGTACATTATTATAACTGACAACAGCTATACATATTTAAAGAGTATTATGCATTTACAAATATTTGTCTGAGTCATAAGACATATTTATTATTTAATATACATTTGTATCTGGAAAAAGTTGATCATTCCCAGCCCCAGGGCCTGAAAATTCATAGACAGCTAAGCCTAACTTATCTTGTGTATATCTTCCAGCTGTGAAATTCAATAGCTGTAACATGGATAGGTTCCTCAGTTACCTTTGTTTTGACTTATATGGGAACATCACTCAAAGGCATTTGAATGGTGTCATAAGAGATTCACTAGTATTATGTGATGTATTATTTGTCCTAATTCTGAAATGAGCAGTATATGAAATGTGCAAGGACTTAATGTGGTTTTTACTTGATATTTCAAGCAGGGCTATAATTTTGAAAATAACATACTGACATTTCATTGTGACTTTAGTTATAACTAGAAGAGATTAGTAGATTTGTTATCTGATTAAATCTTGCTAGGGAGAATAAAACAGTAATTTTATAATGCCTATTTACTTTTATAAATGTCGTGTCTCAAAGTTCAACCTGAAATCATTATAAATTTTTCAAAATGCTTCTTGAAAAAATTTGCGAGAAGAAAACTAACAAAAATCAAGTAATAGTATGTCAAATATAATGAGTGTTGTAAATAACATTTTTGATTGCTGAGCAGAAATAATTTATTTGGTATTTATGAATATTAGCCATACTGATTCAGTTTAATCCTCTTACAATAGATTTTCACATTCTTCTGACATAAGTGGCATTCTTATAAAATTCCCTTTGGGTTTCACTACTTTAATATGAAGGGAGCTGTGAGGCATTTAGTAATTTTCACCAAATTCATAGATCCACACACTAACAGAGAATGGAAAGAGGTATGCAAATGTCCAAGCACATTATAGAAATCAGCCTGTAATGCTGCTGCAGCTGTACATGAAATAAATTTACATGGAATAAATACATTAAATAAATGTAGATATTATTTTATTAAAAGTCTTAGGAACATCATTTTTCTTATGTGCTATGAAATTTTATGGCAACAGAGCTGTAGACACATTCGGAAATGACAATTATTCTTTTGAGTCAAAGGTCATAACATTTAAATGGGGCCCTTCTGAATAATTTATAGTATAAGTTGTTACAAATATCTCATGACATTTGGTGTACTCTACAGTTGTTCTTGGGATTTAGGTTTATATAATAAACATATGTTCATGTTTGCAATGAGTAACGTTGTTGACATCATACTCTCTTTTTAAAAGGACATAATGCCTGCTTCCCAAGTCCAAATTATAACCCCTTCACATGGATGTTTTTCCTGGTTTCATGTCCAAACTACACATATGAGGTATGCTGTGCATGTGTGTAAATAACTTAAACTGAACTTCTTGATTATGTGTTAACTGCATTGTATGCTTTTTCATACATTATAAAATAGCACATATGTGATAAAATACATGTCAGTCTTACTTATAGACATGAGTGCAGAGCAGGGCATTCAGTTCAAGTTATAGGCATAGGAAAGTAGAAAATTTTAGGCACAATTGCCTATAAGACTAAATGAATATTGAACATAAATGTATTTATATATAGGAAGACTTTTGCATTCTTTACATAAGACATTTTAAAAGTATTCAGAAATTTAAATTTTCCCACCTTTAAAATGGTACTCTTCGATCAGTTATGAGTATATTATTTTATGGGAGTTTATTGATCATTGAAAGTAAAACTTAAATTATTTTTTCCACTTTTATGTATTTGGTATAGGGTCTCACTATACAGCTTGGACTTGTAGTGATCCTTCTTTTTTCAGCCTTCCGAATGCTGGGATTATAGGTGTGTGCCACCATGCCTGGACTCGGTGGCCGGTTCAGCGCACCCAAGGGCTGGGCTCCTGTGCATGCAGTATAGTACCAGGAGTCGTACCTGTTCCTGCACTTGCCTAAGCAGGCATTTAGTCCACTCAGCTACCTTGCTGGCCCCTTAAATTATTATTTTTGGAAGTTTATTTCTACTCATCGATTTTCTAATGTTTTAATCTTTTAAATTATCTATTTAATGTCAAAACCAAAAAATGACTGCATTATTTATGTTTTAATATAACAGATTGGATCATGGATTAGCTTCACAGTCATGACACAGACACTGCCAGGTAAAGCTGGTTTACCAGTGTTTACTCAAAGTTAATGCACTGTTGGGGGGACTGGTCTCTGAGAATAACTTACTCTATTGCTAACCTGTGTCGGCACAAGGATTGTTGTGTTATTTGATACTGAGTTTAACAGTATTAAACATATTGAAGTATCATTGAGATTTAATTCTGTATGACTAGTGCTTGATCCAAGAAAGGAAATCTAATTTAAATACATTTATTAAGCAATGAGATTTTGTCAAGCAGAAGCAGTAGCAGTTACACACTCTGCATGAATCTCTCTTCTGTGCACGCATGTGGGCATGTGTGTGCATTTTGGTAATTATCCAGGAGAAGCTGTGAAGGTAGAGCTGGGAAGCAGCAGTGCCTACTCTTGAGTACTGGGCCTTTTAACACACATTAGAAAGCTGAGTGACCCGAGCTGTGTGTACTAAGTGGCACACGTGCTACACTCAGTTCATCCATGTGTTGTTTCACTGTATAACAATTTAGAATCATATTTAATGTGGCTTATCATATTTCATGTATATACATTTACATTTAGAGAGGGACAAGTTATATATTTGAAAAATATTATTAAAATAGTTCAAATGAGTAAAAATTTCATTTGTGGAAATATTTTGTGTCAAGAGATTTGGAAAAGTGAAGATTGCTAAGTATTTCTATATCTTTTCTTCTGTATAACGAATATTAAGTGAACATATATTATGCTCGGCAGTAAGTATCAGGAAGTAGATAAGAACAGGTAGCATCTGAGGAATATTTTAAAGATTAATACATCTTGCCTCCATCATAAGAATGCAAAGAAAGACAATTCTTTTTTTTTTTTTCCTAGCTGGGATTTTTACACTTTTGATGAGTATCCAGATGTCTTTGTGGGCAAAAAAGAAACATAAATTTTACCTGAAGAAGTTTAACTCATGTATGCACAGGAAATCAGCAATAATTCCATTTATATTGTAAAATGAATAAGTGTTCTAATATCAAGAAAGATAGTATATAAACTTACTAACTCAAGCTTATTTAAGGATAATTAGCTAATGTTCTATCAAGGTATGAATTGTATCAGTGTTTTTACTGATTGAAATATGAACTGTTTTAGAGTTTATCCAAACTCATAGTTATGAAGATTAGGTAATAAAAAGTAGAACTAATAAACAGAGTCTGTCAAAAAAATGTACGCACACTTCAGAACTTTGCTGTACTGTATTATACTAATAAAGGTCTGAAGTACAAAGGCAACCACACTGAGCCCTTTTTACAATTGCAGAAGCAAAAGGTAATTTGTATTAATCTCATGATATCTCGATAAATTTGAAATAAAAAAATGTAACATTGGGCATGGTGGGGCACGAATGTAATCCCAGCTCTTTGGAAGCTGTAAACAGTCGGATCACTACAAGTCTGATTCAGCAGCAAGACCCTGAACACCCTGTAGACCCGTCCCTAAGATACAAAAAAAAATAATAAAATAAAATAAAGCATGTATACAAGTTCTTTCCTGATAAACACAGTTTTTGATGGACTATGTAAAATTAATTAAATATAAAATATTCCTGAGATGTTGATGTTCAAGAAATTTTTACTTCATTAATATTTTATTAACATTTTTCATCAATTCATCAATTGAATTCATCAATTCTATTTTTCATATATTTAAAATATCAATTATGAAGTAAATATTTTTAATATCAGCTCAAAAATCACTAGAATTTCACATATTAATTTGATAGCAATTGGATATTTTACTTTTCAGTGTGTTACAAAATGTCACATCTTACAATTTCAATTTTTGTGGACATTTGACTCGAAGTAAAATTTGCATAGCCATTTATCTTATTTATAATATAACCAGTGTATGCCATATTCTGTATTTATCACAACAACTTATTTCAGATATTTGTGATGATTGTTCTTTCCTATCAACCTGATTGAATTGGGAAACACCTAGGATTTGAAAGGCAGGATTCTGGGTGTCTGTAAATTTGTTTCCAGAGAGACTGGCATGAGGGATGGCAAACAGGTGGAGACACAATGGAGTTCTCAGTGGGTCCCAGAGAAAATAAAATAGAGACAGGAAGCCTGTGAGCACGGATTTTCTCAGTACTTCTCCCTTTCCCTCTGCCTGTCTCTGTCTCTCTGTCTCTCTTTCTCACGCTCTCTCTCTCACCATGAGGTGGTTAGGAGAATGAGTTTTCTTCTTCTGTCCTTTGCTTGCTTGCAATGTCTCTCCTTGCCAAACACATGAATGCAGTAGAGGCAGCAACCGCAGACTGACAGCTCTGCATCTGTAAGCCCCGATGAACCATCCACTAAGCTGTTTTCATCAGTGTATCATCACAGAAGTGGAAACCTAAAATATTCCTTGCATATTTTTCATTATATAGTTTGGAAGGCATATTTATAAAATTTCTTTTATATTTTGTAGAGATATTTAATAAATATGCATATGTTATATATATATATATTTATATTAGTATATGTATATACATTTCAAATGGATTTGAGGAAAATATAACTTCATTGGTGGTAATTAGACGTATACAATGGAAGTTTTCTTGATTTATTTTTACATTATTAAATGTCTGCCTTCCCTTAAATTTGTGCTTGTGTGTCAGTGTGAATAGTATGTGTGAGTGTAAATATATACTTGTTAGACATGACTGATGTTATGGAAAAGAAACTTCACATTTGTTAAAATACTTAAAATAAATTATCGTACTGTTGTATGTTGCCCTGTTTCTTTGTTTCTAATTTTTGTTCTTGCCTTGCTTTTAATTTTCAAAATAAAATCAAATAAAAAATAAATTAAATTATCTGTTTCTTTACTTTTAAATTGTGATTCTTTACATTGACTAGTTTCTACAGCCTTTCCATTTCTCAGATCATAAAAATATATAAGATATCCACACAATGTAGTTATAAAATCATCTATAATAAATACTCTATTATTGAAATACTAAATATATTTTTGTACCTGAATTTTAACTGACACTAACCCCCACATCTGAGTTTGCAGTGAGGAGCTCTGACAAAGAAAGTGTGGGATATATGTACATCACTTGTCTTACATTTTCTGTACTTATTTTTAAGTGCTCCATATTTGTCTCATATGAGTCATTTCCTTATAAGTGGTGGATTGATAATTATATAGTATTTCATAAATATTTTAATGTTTTTAAAAATATTGCTATTTTTACTTGTTCATGTTGTCACTGCCATAGGTATCAAATAAAGAGAGCTGAAAGCCTGCCTATTAGCTCAGTTGTTTAAGTGACTGCTTAAACAATGCAATCAGGTTGCTGTGGTTCGATCCCCAGACCCTCAAGCCTTACCAACCTGCCCTGAAGGAATCCTGAGTCCCCAAAAAAAGAAAAAAAGGAGAGCTTAATAAACTTTTATTAAAGTATTTTTTCATTAATATTAAAGTAAAAATATGTCCTCAGCTGAATAACTCATGTTATTTTCAGGCTTAAGGGTAAACTTACAGTAGTTATCAAAATTACTCTCTTAAAGTACATATACACATATTATTAATGTGAAAATATATAATTTATGTGATTTTAAACCTCTTATACATCTCATTTTTATCAAGCTCTTTCTAAACAAGTTTATTATCTCCAAATGCCTTTTCCAATTCTCTTTAAATTCTGTACTTCATCCATATCCATACCTATGCTTTAAAAGCTAGGATGGAGCGCAGTCACTCCTGAAGAGTTTCTTGGTCTGGGGAGATAACTCAGTGGAATAGGCGCCTGCCTGGCAAGTGCAAGGTCTTGAGTTAAATTCCCTGTATTGAAAAAACTAAACAAAACAAAACAAAAAAAAAAAGAGTTTCTTATGTGCTTAAATCTGTATACTTAGTTCTTCTCAAATATAAAATAAGAATTAGAATAAAATTTTCTAACAATGTTGTAATGATCACATAAATAGCATGTTTGCATTGCAAGTGAGAAAGTTTTATATTGCTTCCAATACAAAACAAATATTTATTAAGAGCTCAAATATTTACTTTTATCTTCCAGTGGTGCATATCTAGGTAAATTAAATTCAGCTCATGGATTAGTTACACATGCCACTACGTAGATTAGTTACAAGTATCTTAATCATATTTACATATCTGTGTATTTAATGTCAGAGAAAAGAGTAATACTAGAGATAGTTCAGAAAATTTATTGCATATATATATATGTATATATTTTGGTTTTGACTTTATATGTATAAATAAAATAAAATAAAAAATTCCACAAACACATGGACATTAAATAATACCATCCTAAACAACAAATGAGTCACAGATGAAATAAAGGAAGAGAAAAAGTGATTGAAAAACAGCATCTCCAAATATATGACAATGCAGGTACAACATGTAGAAAAGTGGGACACAATGAAAGCAGTGCTATAAGAGAAATTATAGCAGGGAATTTTCACATCAAGAAAACAAGGAACACAAAATAAATAACCTAAAGTTACCCCTCAATTTTCTGGAGAAAGAAGAGCAAGACAAATCTAAAGTCCACATAAGGGAGGAAATTTTAAAATCAGAGCAGAAATTAACACAATAGAGAGCAAGAAAACAACACAAAGAATTAATTAATCACATAGTTAGTTTTTGAAATAGATCAATAAAATTGACAAACCTTCAGCCAACCTTATCAGATAAAGAAATGACTCAAATTCATGCATTGAGGAATAATAAGGGTAAAGTTACTAAAGATCCTGTGAAAATTCAGATTATTAAAAGCAACTACAAAATTGTTTACTGTCATAGGACTGAAAACACAAAAGAAATTTACAGATTAGTAATTATGTATGAATTTCCAAAGCTGAATCAAGATGGTATAAAAATTCTCAATAACTCACAATCAGTTAATGAGATTGAAAATGTAATTAAAAACAAACCAACAAAGAAAATTCTAGGTCCTGATGGATTCACTACTAAATTCTAAAATAAATTTAGAGATTTATTAATAATACTCTTGAGCATCTTTAATCAAATTTGAAAGGGAAGAAATTCTCCCTAGCTCATTGTTGAAGACAAATATTACCCTGATAACACTGGGTCCAGATAAGGACCAAATCAAAAAAGAGAACTATAAACCAATCTCCTGAATGAATTTATATACAAAAACCCTCAATAAGATACTAGAAAACAGAATTGAACAAATCATCAGGAAGATTATACATCATGCCTAGGTGGGATATCCCAGGAATGCAGAAATTGTTCAACATACACAAATCAATAATATGATATACCATATCAACAGAGCCAGAGACAAAAATCACATGATAATCTAATAGATCCAGAAAAATCTTTTGATAAAGTCCAGCAGCCATTTATAATTAAAAATCCTACAGAAAAATTGATATGGATGATATTTATCTCTACTGGATAGAAACCATCTATGAAAAATCAAAGTCCAACATCACATTAAATGGATAAAACCTAAATGTTTCCACTAAAATAAGGAACAAGGCAAGGACATCCATTATCATCATTACTTTTCAACATAGTTCTAAAACATTAACTAGTGTAATTTGCACAAGAGGGAGAAATAAAAGGAATAAGGAAAAGATAGGAAGAATTTTAAATTATCATTATTCATGGTAACATGATACTAAACTCCACCAAAAGATTCCTAAAATTAATAAGAAAGATCAGTTGTATGACTGGATACAAATTCAACACTCAAAAATCATTAGCATTCTCATACACTTTTTGTTGAAAAAATCAACAAACTTGGTTAGAAAAAATTAGGAAAAAATAAATGTTTCATGATAATATGCAATGTAATATTTAGGAAACAATACAACAAAGGTAGTAAAATATCTATATATTGAGAATTACAGGGGCTGGGTAGATGGCTCAGTGGAATAAATGCTTCCCTGGCAAGCGCAAAGGCCTGAGTTCAATCTGCAGTTCTGCCAAAAAAAGAAAAGAAAAAAGCAAATTACAGCATTCTGCAAATAGAGATCAAGGAAGATATAAGAAAACAGAAAGATATTCCTTGATTATGGATAGGAAGAACCAACATTGTGAAAATGGCGTACTCCTGCTATGGTTTGTGTCTAGTTGTTCCCCCAAAGCCTCAAGCAGTCATGGGGCAGAGACTTCTAGAGTTTGTTACTAATTCATGATCCACTAGGAGTATAGGTGATCCAAAGCTGGGATTATGAGTCTGTGTACTTGCCCCAGTCTGGGTCAGAAAGCCTGAATGCAATATAAGAGAGACAGAGAGACAGACTTCCTTTCTCTGTTGCCATTGTTGCTGCTACTCTTCCCTTGGTTCCTCTTGCTCTTTGCCACTGACATGGACTGATACATTTTGTATTGTGTCACTCTGCCTTGGCGGC